GTTTTTCATTGTTATCCCAAGAAGTAGGCATAGCTCCTCTGTTGCTATTTTAGCCTGTTCTTTGTACTCTTTGTTTCTTCCAACTATGCTGAAATACAGTGTGCCTGTGCATGTTCCAGTTCACTTTCAGAGTGACTTCAGTAAATGCAATCATAAAGTTTTTGGCTGAGCAACCAAAAGTAGCTGAAATTCTAAATTAAGATGTCCTTGGAATAGTGTTCCCTCAGCATGTTCATTGTATTGGCATAAAGTGTGAGTAAGCTTAATAAAGTAGTAAAATACATATTCAACTTGATCTACATTCTGCAGGGTTAGAGCCTGCCAATTTACATGGCTGTAAAACACTGTGTTTATGCGGTACTTTTTAACTAATGAATGTAATGTCTACAACATCACACTGTAATTTCTCTATTTTGAAATCACTTGAACTGGAAGAGGTCACTAGTGAGCCATGCAGCATATCCTGTCTGGATTGTGATGGAGTTTTCCTGTGCATTTACCCATTAGCAGATTAAGGGGCAGAAAGGCTGCTTTAAGATATGTACAACTTTTAAATTCCCTTTAATTTAATATGCACTCACCTGGTATGTTTCTAAAGCCTGACTAATTTTAGTCACAAAATATATTGCACTTCCCTCCCGCCGGCTGAGTGCTTGAAATTGAGTCAGTCTGGAGGGTGTTGAAGGTAGCTCATATTGAGCTTGCGTCAGCCAAAGTAGAATCTAAATAGAAAGGTTCACAGTAAGCCTAGAAGAACTGCTTTCAGAGAATTCAGCCTCTTGTCTGTTATGTTTGCTTTTCAGGCTCAGCAGACCTGGGGGTGTGTCTCCATAAATCATCTAGTGGTTTGGATTTACCCATGAAGGTGGTAGATATGTTTGGCTGTTGTTTGCCTGTCTGTGCAATATATTTTGAATGGTAAGAGCTTGATTATTCTGAGATAGTTGTAAGTGGATCATATAAAACAGTATTCTTACAAAGCAAGAGTTCAGCAGCTGCTGCATGTATCAAATGAGATTCCAGTATTACACCATAATTTTTTTTTAATTTGGTAAGATAAGTTAGAAATCAAGATTGTTTTATTTCAAGTTGAAAAATTAACACTAGTTTCTACGAAGTTGGGAACATTTAATGCAACTACTTGCCTTAAAAAATAACTACCCTGTAATCCGTTGTTTCCATATACTTCATTTAAAAAAAGCTTCCTTCTGCATAGACACGTCTCTGTTCTGTGAGGGAGTGTGTATGCATATTCAGTCTTAGAATTTATGGTTCTTTAGGGAAACAGTAGCTTTTATAAAGAAAGATAAATTCTCTGTGAAGATCTCATGAGTTGGATCATGGACAGATTTTCCTTGTGGGTTAATTTTAAAGTAGATTATTGCCCTGATTTTTAACGTGTGCCCAGATGAGTGGCACAAAGACAGAGTGATGGCCCTTTTGTACTGTAATGGTAGATTTAAATGGTCTGACATGGAAGGGAGAAACAATCTTTAAATTTAAACATTTAAAATGGCCTTCTTCATTCCATTTTCTCAGGTATGAAGCTCGTATCTAGACATCCAGGATCATAATGTTACAGATGTTCTAGCACTGTCTCTTTGGATGTCACTATGCAACTTTTTAAATGTATATCTCCCATTCGCTGCTTTTTGTCTCACAGTTTTTTCCTATGACTTTTGTTCACAGTTTACATGAACTTGTGAAACACAATGAAAATGGTCTGATATTCAGGGACTCGAATGAACTTGCAGAACAACTAAAGGTAAAGGCTTGACTGATTTTTCTTTCCCACTGGCTATAATGGCAAAGGTGCTACCATGTGAGCCACCTTTTCCTACTTGACTATCATCTGTGTATTTTTATTCTCAGAAGATACTGCCTTGCCTGGTGGATGTTATTGGCCTCACTTCTATTTGAATATGAATCTGAAGCTGGCAAGAACATTTTAAATATTGCCATTGTTTACTATTTATTGGGCCAGACCTAAGAGCGCTCTCTTACTGCAGCATTGTAGTCGAGGGTTAACATTGAGGGGGCTAGAATGAACCTAAAATATAATGGTATTTTTCTGTGGTTTTTCTTTTTTAACTTACAGATGCTTTTCTTGGAATTTCCTACACTGGAAGGAAAACTTCACAACTTCAGAAGAAACCTCCGTGTGTCCAAGCAGCTGCGCTGGGATGAGAGTTGGGACCAGACTGTTCTTCCTTTGCTTGAGCAGAAGGAATGACTTCTTGTGGGGGAGAAGGGTGTCAAAAAAGCTAATGCATTCCTGGGGCTGTGTAGATTTGATAAATCGTGAATAAACACTTTGTATTGTCTATAGTTGCGGTTTTTAACTACTTCATCTTGGAACAAGTGTTGGGACACACCTCTTCCTTTACAATTTGAGCTTCTCATGTGACTAAGAATAGCACTAAAGTTGCAGCCAAGGCTATTTGTTGTCTTACTTAGAGCGTAAGTCTTGAGGGAAGACATGGTTTCTGTGCTGGAGAGCGTGAGCCTTGCCCTGTGGGCTGCCTTTCCTGCCTTATCACTTGGGGTGAACCTTTAGAAAGTGGGAGGCAGGTTTAGTTACTCTAGGAACTCCTGTGTGCAAAATCTGTTACCTGTGATGCTTAAAGGTCATTTTTTGGTGAAGATACTTGAATACAGACATAAACTATTACCAGTTATACCTGTTGTATAGTAAGCACTTTAGTAGGTGATTTGGGTACATTTTCTTGCGAATGGGAAATGCCTTTTATTTGAATTGTTTTATTTGAACTGAGGACACAGTGGGGGTTTTATTTTTTCAACCAGTTAATATTCTTGGCTAGTCTTCCCTCAACAAGCGCTGAGTATCCTCTTTATTGAGACAGAACCTTTTAGTTTCAAAGTTGTTTTCCTTTTTACACTGTGTGCAAGAATGTGAAAGCACTGCCACTGGTATGTGACAGCTTTATTGAACACTTAGAGGAAAAGAGACGTTTCAATGAGTTTTGTCCTTGTACAGTGAAGTGAATGTGCCCACTTACCTTGAGAAAGAACCTAAGATTTATCCCTTTTTGAACAGATGAATAGAAAATGAAAAAATGAAAACGTATTAAGTATGTATAACTTAGAGGGCACGTCACTTTCTGAGTGCTCACTCAGGTATACCCTTAATCTTTTTATTGTTAGTATCAGTATTCATGGGCAGACTTAGTGCTTACAAGATGCTTTTTTCATTACCTTTTTGATTATAAAATAGATGTCATTTATTCCTTAAATGTGCTTGCTTTTATCCTGTGGTTACTGCTCTTCAGAGTTCCTAGTTCAGTGGTGGTAGATGATTACAATGGGTTCTGCACCAGCATTTTTAAGCCTGCTTACTAAGTAATCATTTAATATCTGCTTTTGTCAAGCTAGACAGCCATTTGCTAATCTTGCCTTTCCCCTTCTGCACCATGGCTACAGTAGACACTGAAAAAATTGTTGACAGTGATTTGGTCCAACTGGTGGGAAGGTGAAAATAAGAGTCCAAGTTGCTTACTGCAAGAGTTTGGCAATTTCACTAGTTCATTGACTGAAGCGATCCATAAAGATTTACTTCTCTTTTTT